CCTGCCAGTCCCTGCAAAGGGCAGCCAGCCCTGGCATGAGGAACTGCCCCGCCATTTCGATGAAGCTGGCCACCATGGTGATCATGAACCGGTGCCCAGGAGGACAGAGCTCTATCCCTGAAACACAGAGCACACGCGAACGCATTAGCCCCTCCACCAGCAACGGCGCCCACAGAGCATCTCTTTATGAAACTTTCAGGGAGTTAGCGTCCTTCAAGACCTTTGGCCAAAGTTAGACACCATCACATAAATCTCGTTTCCCCCCGTTTAGGCTTCAAACCCGCCAGCAGCAACAAAGCAGCTCATTAACAGCTGGCTGTGGTGTGAACATCGCTGTATCCTCATTGACAGCTCTCCTTCAGTCTCTGCCTACAGGAGCATTTTACCAAACTGTCAGATATCTGGTTTTTAAAGGAAATGCAGAGTAAAACACAATCCAAAGATTTTGGGTCGAGGCTTTTTGCAGTGCTGGGAGGCAGAAGAGCACAGCTCTCAGCAAGATGCAGGATCCCAGCTCATATGGGATGCCACCTGCCCACAGTTTAGTATGCTACGACTCAGCCAGTTTCAAGCTGGGTTTTGCTGAGTAGGTTGTTTCTGGGTTTGCTTTTTGTTTTCACAATAGCTAATCTTGATCAACTTTCAAACGAGCCAGCCTTCCATCTGTCTTATCCTGTACTCCATCCTTCCTTTTGCTGTGGGGCAATTTACTACCATCACTGGTATCGGTTGTCTCAGCTGCCTTGTGACAAGTGCCTTCAGTAGATAAAAGCTTCCTTAAACCCTGGCTACCTTTTATTTAGTCCTCAGAAATAAAAATGAGTTTATCAGAATTACAGCTTTTTAAAAAAAAAAAAAACACAGAAGAAATAGAAGAAAAATTGGACTGCCTTTTAGAAATATATTCAAACATTTTTTTGCCAGTAAGACTGCAACAGAAGCCCCTATTTCATGCTTCCCATTTGCCCACTTTCCTGTCTACAGATTAATAATTAAGCACAATAAACCTGCCACAAGTCTTGCGTAGTACTTATCAGCACGCTGATCCAGAAACACAGGCTGTAAAGGTTCATGATATGTCGCTATCAGCACTGTTGCATTTCCTTGGGATTTTTCCTAGGGTTGTTTTAAATTAGAATTTAGTGATTGTTAAAATTGTAATTGAAAAGCTATAGGACAATAGGAAGAGATGACAGCTGCTCCTTCATTCACTCTCTCTTCTGTCGCTTGTTCAGCATTTATCACTGTAACACAGATTTAAACTAGCTGACCAGGGACGAGCTTGTAGATCAAACACAGGATTAAACACCACACGCTGGGTTTTTTTCCTCTTTCTTTTCAGCCAATGACAAAAACTATTGATGGATTTTTGCCAATACAGAAGGAAAAATGTATCTGTTGCGAGGCAGTCCAAATTTTCATTAGCTTAACCACAAACACAGCAGCTTTGGAAAACGAAGGGAGAAAATAAAACCCCTCAAAAACTCTCACTTGCTATAAAAGCCTTTTACATTTTAATTAGAAAAACAAGATTAAAACACAGAGCTCCTTATTACATTAATATGGTTTCATTCTTACTAATGAAGTATCCCAAGTATAGGCGATTTTAAAAATTCTATGCAAAGAGGTCACTTCCGTTTTATTTCCCTAATCTTCAAATTTAAAGTGGTTCTGTTTGTTTTTCTAAACCTTGAAGTCCCAGTTAACTCACACTCCAATATTCCTTCATTAAGTACAAGGACAAGTTTTGTTGCTATAGAAACGGGAAGTCTGCATTAGATAGGTAAGGCTTTGGCATTTCAATTGCATTGCATAGGCTAGTATCAGGTAAAAAAAAATTAACCACGAGAACAATTTTTATACAAAGTCAGAAAGAAGTGTCCAAATAATAAAATTACATTTTATTAAGTCACTGGTGTGTAGTACATAACTCCATATGCAGCAGTTATTCATTGTATAGAAAGGAAATAACTTCAGAGATTGTTTAGCATCTATTTTCTTCTCTAGATTATCACATGCATATGATCAATTTTTGGACTTTCCTCTTAAAAAGCTGGAGAACACAAAAAATTAATCCCTGCTGTAGCTGAGTGAGCATGACTTCCGAGTGACATCAGCAGGTGCTCCATCTATATGAAATATCACATCTCTGTTGAAATGTTCTTCATATTAGGACAGCCTGTGGACTTTCCGACACCTCTCACATCAATTTTATATGATAAAAGACTCAGCACCGCAGTTTTTAGCAAGCATTTAGCAGTCAACCTTCTCCCACCTCTGCCAGCAAAGCCACCCATGGCAGCACCTCTGCCCCCACCCTAGGAAAGGCACCCTGCACCCTCCTGATGGCCCCACCAGTGCCGTGACGCACCCAGGCACAAGGCTTCCTTGGCCACAACAGTTTCCACCCAGTTCGTGTGATAAATTACCGACTCGCATGACATCACTGCAAGGCAGAGATCAGCTTTATCCACCTGTGGCAAATCCAGCAAGAAAACTCTGGCTCCTCCACTCAGTGGAAAAGTTTCCACCTCAACTACTTTGTGGAGCATGGAGAATCATACACACAAATAATGGAAATTACCATCAGTACCAAAAACTCCTGGATACGTCTGCTCTACTCGGAAAATTTTATGTGTGGGCAAGGAGACGGGCATGGCAAGCAATTTGCTTCCTTGCCTAGTATTTCTACTCTAGGCAGCACAGTCAGGGCAGCAGATCCAACCCAGATGCCTAATTTCCACAAGTCCCAGGCGAACAATCCTATGGGTGAGTTGAGAGCTGTACGCCAAGCAATCCCACAGTACTTGGGCAATGAAATCAGACATGCCCAGGACACGTGGGACAGGCTTTCCCACCATTGGTAGACGTCGAGTGACAGCGGGCATCACAAGTGCAGAACTGGGACCCAGTCGATCCCTGTGGCAGAACCGCTCCGCGCACGCCCGAAGTACGACCCAGCCTGAAGGCAAGTGCCTCACCGCACGTGTGGTGCAGACCCGAGCCCCCCTGGCATCACGGACAGGAGACACTGAACACACGAGGCTCATTGCACGGCACATGCCTCTGGCTGGGAAATGCAGGAATAAACTGTAGAAATCCTCCTTTTGGATCCTATCCCCTATGTCCTTCCACTACAGAAATGACCAAATGAACGTTCGCCAGCCTCACAGCCCTCACACCTGCCACAGGGAGAGCCCGTGTGAACCATGTCCCTTCTTACAAAAGATTCAAGCATTTTTGGGGGCGGTTTGATGCACTCAACATAACCCCACTACGAACATGCAGGATGTGCAGAGAGACGTTCTGGTACGGAAGGAACAGCACTGGGGCCAGAAATGTTACTCCATGAGTCTGCAGGCAGTAGTTTGTACCAGAAGTATTAAAACTGGCGATGAGCAAAGGCAGAGTAAAAGTCCGTATGCACGTGCAAGCGTACGCGTGTGTGCGAGCACAGCAGCAGGCACCAGGAGGATGGGCAGAGCACGGGTTAAAGGAATGGCATGTGCCCGTTGTGCCAATCGCACCCTACCCGTGATATCATTCAAGTAACAAAAGGAGGAAGAACAACCTGACCTACAGATAAGGTATCAAGAAGATGAAGAAAAGGCTTGGAGTCATAAAACATCGAGACCATAAGAAAAAAGAGAATAGAAATTCATTAAGTTAGTCTGAGAATTATGAGGAATAAGAGAAAACAATGAAGCAAAAAATTGTAACCACCACCAACTCCTACAGGGTATGGAAAGCAAGCCCAAACGAGCTTGTTGCCTGCCCAGAACAACCTCAGCGATGTGACGAGGACACAACAGCCACTACCTCTCGTCCTCTGTGTCACACAAGTGACCCTGGCTGGACCACGAGGACACGCGCCGCGGTACTCGCGGGCGCATGGGTGTCAGAGCACGCATGAATGAGATCCGTGAGGGAATGAGTGCAGTTGTGCAAAATCTGCCTCCTTAGAGATTTCGAGGGGGAAATAAATAATTTGTTGTCTCTCACTGAGTTATTTAGAAATCTCCTGGGAAATATTTTCGAATGTTAACCAAGGCAATAAGAATCACCACAACTATATTGGCTGTTCCTAACTACTTAGGGATATGGGTTAATGGGGGATTAGGGACGGTTGGACTGGATGATCTCTAAGGTCTTTTCCAACCTAGAAACCTACGAATCTATGAAAGGCCAAGCTCAAGAAAAGGACTTTCAAAGTAACATTTTTGGTATACTAGGAAGACAGATTTCAGAGCAGTTCCCTCACTACTTCATACGTTGGCCTTTTTGCTTACCCCTAGCATTGCAGCAATGGCTCTACCTGACCCCTAAAAGAGCCACTTGCACCCCTAGGATGCATTCAACTTTCTAGATACATGCTGAAGGAAAAGCCCCTGCTGAGGAGGGCTCTGTTCCCGATGGTCCCCACACTTCTCTCTGGAGGCAACCTTGGAGATGTCCTGGGCTGGCTTCCTTTGCTGGTACACTCACCCCAGAGCAGGGGCAGCCCTTGGGTTTCAGGGGAGTTGAGTTTCATGACAGATGCTGGCCTGAGAAAAGCTGTCTCAGATGCCGATGGATCTACAGGGCTTTGAGCTTGGTCAGACTTTGTGACCGTCTAGCTTTAACAAGCAGGTTGTCAGCGTACACTCTCACACCTTAGGTGAATACAGAGTCCAACAAGGTTTCCAACCTGCAGCATTTTCCAAACACATCTAAAAAGCAAAATAAGTGGGTTTTACAACCAGGGAAACTAGGGGCTGAAGGCAACATTGTCACGTGCAAGTCCTCATTTGATCCACATTGCGTGTTACGTGACAACACTCACAAGGCTGGAATAATATTTTCTAGACAGATCAAAATGAACAAACAACTGAAAACGAGAAGTTCATTGTTATTTCATAGGAGCCGTCCCACAGCCTGCCACCGGAGTAGGATCAAGTAAGATCTCCCGAGCAGGTCTTGGGATACTGAAATTACTTTGAGGATTCATTTTCTCTTCCTTGCTCCACCCGTATTCCCCCTGCGGCACAGTCCTTTGGGACTCTCGTTAGAAGGAAGGAAAAGCCTGAACAAGCCTTCACAGGGAAAAGCAGACCCATTCCGGTACTTGGGCCACAGCA